GGCCAATACAGTCAGGGACAAAACAGGAAGACCAAGGTTGATTGTATCTTTCAGGAAATTCTTACTCACTTGTTACTACCTCACATGTCTGCGAAGAAAGCCTGTTTTTTCAGTTGCCGTCAACGATTGGTGTGCTAGCAGATGTGCTGCTTTTTCGAACGATCAAAGTAAGCATGCCAGAATTATCAAAAAATTCAGCGGCATATTTCCCACCCTTCGGAAAATTCAAAAATTCAATTTTTCAGGCCTTCTACCAATTTTTTTCGTTTAATTTTTTTGCACGTTTCTCGTTGCTGTAAAAACAACTAATTTTTTTAGGGCAAGAAGAATCTGACGTATGCATCACTGGCAGTTCTGATCGGTCTAGCAGGTGTTCTGTTGATTGCTTTTTCAAATCAGCAGCTCTGATCAGAGCGCTCGCCGGGCACTATTTCCGTCGATGGGTGTTACTTCGATGAAGTACCAACGCGGCTAACCATTTCATGATCGTACTGGCCAATAATGAGTCGTTCGGGAGGGAGAATCGCTGTTCGACGAAGAAGATCCAAGTTTTACCATCTCCTCGCCCCTAACTCTCCATCCCAGTCCGGGATTGTAACGGAGGGGAAGAGGCAGGGTCACTGACTGCAAAGAATCTGAGATCTTGTTTGAAGGTAAGAACAGTCAGGGTTTGTGGGGGAGGGTTTTTCATGCTAGTCCTCGTCCTTGGAGAAGTAATGGAGGGGAAGGGGCAAGGTCACTGACTGCAAAGGACCTAAGGTCTTGCTTGGAGGTGAGAACAGGCAGGGTTTGTGGGAGAGGGGTTTTTCATGTTAGTCCTTGTCTTGGAGTCGTAATGGAGGGGAAGAGGCAAGGTTACTGCTTGAAGGCAAGAACAGGCGGGGTTGGGTTTGTGGGAGAGGGGGTTTTTTCATGCTTAGCATAAAACTTGATGCCGAGAGAAAGTTGGCAATCTTGAATATGACACCTACAGTTTTACCTAAAAAACCCAGTACCATGATTTCTACAATTCAATTCCGAACTCAAAAACGAGTGCATAATAATGCGCGGCCAAGCCGAGTTCTAGTGGCTGCCTA